CGCTAACACGGATTAACGAGCATACAATATAATTTTAACAAAGTTATTCCCAAAGAACTATTATCACAAAATCCGGCATAACCCAGCAGGGGGTGTAGTGTCCTTAAAAAAATGCACATTTTCCTAGTAAAATATAAAGAAACGAGAGCCCCAAACTCCTATTATCTACTGCAGGTTTCTACAAACTGGGTAAAAGTATTGTGTGGTAACAGATGACAGCTACATGTGGCCCTCTGTTGGTGTAGCTTAACTACTGCAAAGATGTTGCGGTTAACTACCGTAAAATAAAGCGATGTTACGGCTTACTAATCTCACTCAAATAAAGCAAAAAAAACGAATGACTTTAAAGTCTGTGATATTTTGAACATTAAGAGTCATGTGTACGCTGTGATAAAATATTAATGTACATGTTGTATAAGTAGTGGTGGCCTGAGAGCGTATCTCGGCGCTCGTTGGTTGTTTCGTCCTGACCAGATCACATGACCCGACGTTACCAGCTTGTTAGCAGCTAGCTACGTTAGCGCCAGACTTTACCAGGAAACGGAGAGCCCTGACGTTACCTCCAGACACGCCAAGGGAAGGAGCTGCCAAACAGATGTATTAAGATCATTTAAGTTATCTGGTGGCTTATTATTTTTATTCAACAGCTGCCTGGATCTAACTGTGAGGTACGTGACTTACACTCTTATCTGCATGAAAACCAGGCTAGCTGATCTGGTACCCTACATTAACCTAACTCCAGCTGTTATCTTGTTTTCCTTCTTCACGATAGCCAGCTCAGCTAACTGGCTAACTGGCCGGTAGTACCAACTTGGTGACTCTGTTATGTTACAGCACGTTAAAAATATGTTTCGTATTGTGTACCATGTAACTACAAGCTAAACTTTAATACCTTGTTTGCATCTTAATGTAACGTTATCGCATGTTTGGTGGCAGATAATACGTTATTGCAGTGTACCTGCTGTCCCGGGCCAACAGAAAAACTGAGCTCTTATCTCTGTATTACAGCTAGCTGAACGCTACCTGAATGGCCTGACTCTTCAACATTAAAGAAATGAGCATGTGACCAGGGACTGGGATTTAACAGCACATGATCCAGACCAGTGGATGAGCTCAAAATCAACCTAGGGTGAGAACAATATGTTTTCAATACCACACTTCTTCTTGCTGCAACTTTTTTTGTGTGTGTAATGGTGTACAAATACTAACAGTATCCATCACACACTCTTTCTACTAGGTAAACTATTTCAAAAGTGGTGGATTTGGGAGTAAATAGCCATGACAACAAAGACATCCTTGTTGAAAGTCATTCTGCTCGGTGACGGTGGTGTAGGAAAGAGTTCCATCATGAATCGCTACGTGACCAACAAGTTTGATGCACACCTTTTCCACACCATCGGGGTTGAGTTCCTCAACAAGGACCTGGAGGTAGATGGCCACCAGGTTACCCTCCAGATCTGGGACACAGCTGGCCAGGAGCGCTTCCGCAGCCTGAGGACTCCTTTCTATCGTGGCTCTGATTGCTGTCTGCTCACCTTCAGTGTTGATGATAACCAGAGTTTTCTGAACTTGGGCAACTGGAAGAAGGAGTTCATCTACTATGCGGATGTCAAGGAGCCGGAGAAGTTCCCGTTCGTAGTACTGGGCAACAAAGTGGATGTGACGGAGAGGCAGGTGTCTACCGAGGAGGCGCAGCAGTGGTGCAAGGAGAATGGTGACTACCCCTATTATGAGACCAGTGCCAAGGATGCCATCAATGTTGCAGTGGCCTTTGAGGAGGCAGTGCGTAGAGTGTTGGCAGTGGATGAAAGAACGGACCACCTCATCCCTACAGACACAGTCAAGCTTCACAGAAAGCCTCGCTCCACTGCCACTTGCTGTTCGTAACACCCAGGAGTTATCACCAACATGAATTCACTATTAGGCCCATTAAATGAGGATGTAGGTGTACAGTTCTGTAGTAACATCTTATTTAAACAAATTACGCTACTGTTATACTGTTGATGGTTTGATAATGCAAAGTGTTGGATTTGTTTGGGGGAGAAAAACAATGAAAAAACACTAAATTAATGCTAGTGGCATTACAAATACAATTAAAAGCACTTGACTCAACACTGCCAAAGGCCATTAAGTCAGGCTTACGGGAAAAAAAACAAAACATTTTGTGTTGACCCAAGACAACTTATAGTTATAAATTAGAGTATTTTTCAAAAGGTTAAATGATTCCATTTTTTTTTATTTGTTTAGATATGTGCAACCTGGAGAGTGCAATTACTGTAGGGCCTCTACACTCCACTCCCTAATATTGAAATGCAGAATGGTGACATGATAGTAATGAAATAACTGCAGAATTGAAATAACATATATCTACCAATAAACTTATTTCTGAAAATTATGAGGTAGCTAAGGAAATTCTTTGTATGACTAACAAATGGAAGCTTGTTATTAATGCACATTTAGGTCTTGTTTGTGCACATTCTGCATTGTGGATAGATTATGGCTGTGTGTTGAAAGCAATGAAGGATGAATTAATTCCCTGAAATATTAAAACAGATTTAACATGCATGGCATTTGGAATATTTCTGTTTCTGGAAACTTTTGTATTTTGTAAGCTCTTTTTATCATTGGAAAAAAACATGAATCTAACTATAAGCAGAATAAATAATGGAGTAGTGACATTTTTTTTCATTGATGGGATTATTTAGCTAATGAATGCACTTATTTTTTAAATATATTTTCAAGTTGAAAGTCTCCCCATAGTTATTTAAAACTGTGAACCATATGTTTAAGTGTCTTTTTTTTTTTCTTTCAAAGTTGTACTACTGGCATGCCAAGTGATGAATAAACCCCCTGAAAATTGCCTGTTATGCATGTTTTGTAGACTGGAATCTAGCTGATAAATCAGTTTAATATTTCCTGTGAACGTATTGGACTATGCTCTGCAGTAACTTACAGATATTTTCTTTCTGGATATTTTTGCAGTGCACATGAAATTTGAAGCCATAATGTTACACAAAGCAGCCACATCCACTCTATTAAAAAAACAAAACAAACACGCACAATGCAAAACACTGTTTATACAAATCCACTTTTGTTCTGAACACATTGAAGATTTTTAAAGAAGAACAGAAACAACTGTATTAACTATATACAACATAAAGACACTATTGAAATTTTTGTGTGAAGTGATTAACTCAGGAGATGCTTCTTCCCAAGGAACTGGACTTTCCTCTCAAAAGCAGTTGAGCGGATGGGCGCGTTGATTTCATAGAATGGATTCATTGCAAACTGAAAGACAGAGCAGGATAAGATTAAATGCTAAAAGCAAAATATACCAAATGTCACATCATGCTAAGATACTCTTATCACCTGGATAACGACTTACCTTGATGTATAAATCATAGACGTCGTTAAAAAAGTTTTTGATTCCATCTTCTTGTCGCATGTCGTGCAGCATGATGAATCTTATATGTGTTGCAAATAGTTAAAGAAAAGGAAGACATGCCCATACACTGAATCTGCCCGGAAACAATGATAACAAACTCATTAAGTCCCAAAATAATCACACTGGTGGCCCTGATTTCCATATTTATATTACATGTTAGATCATAGCTTTAAATCCCAATGATTTAAATGAATTAACATGTTTTTTAAGATGTAGATTAATAGAAGATTCAAAACTTGTGCTTGATTTTGGTTATTCAACTTGCTGTTTCGATTACAAATACTGTGTATAAACTACACCACTGAAATGAGATTATTTAACAAACTTACCCCTTTCATAAGTGTACAGCCCTTTGTTTTCAGCTGGGAGTTGTCTGAAGGTGCTATATAAATAAATTGCTTGCTCGCTTGCTATCAGTCTAAAAACAGTAATATCTTAATTAATGCTGAGCAAAGAAAAAATGTGTTTTCATCGGGCAACTGACACAGCATCAGGAAATAATTATCACATGAAACAGAACAAAAGGATATGTCCTGCAGTGACAAATGCAGAAACAAACCACTCGTTGAATTTGTCCACAGTTTTCAAGTACATATTGTTGGACAGCCACATATTTTCATCCACCAAATCCAGGGCTGCATGTGCAATGAACTGGTTTAGGTGACGATGATCATCCTGTAAGTATGATGTAAGTAAATGTAAGTAAGAACAGTTGTTTCATGATTTAATTAAGAGGGGGGCAATTATTTTTTTCCACATAGGGCCAGGTGGGTTTGATTAACTTTCTTTTTTCCCTTTAATAAACAAATTAATCGTTTAAAACTGCATTTTGAATTTACTCAGATTAGCTTTGTCTAACATTGAAACCTGTTTGATTATTTGAAATGTGTAAGTGTGTCAAATACACAAATAGAGACAAATACTGCGCTGTAGCTCAGTAATTGAGTGATTAAATTAAGCGAGGTTACCTTTGATTCGGGCTTCCCAGCTGGCAGGAACTCCATCTCAAACACAGGATTGTCATGATGACCAACCATGACAAAGTAGAAGCTTCCAGACATCGTCTTCTCCTCTCAGCAAAGATAAACTGATCTGAAATTAATCCCTCCACAACGAAATAAGCAAACTTATAAGTAGAAAATAGTGACAGCGTAACCTAAAATGACTGTAAACCCTCTGGATAGCAAGTTAGCACTAACCGCGGAGCTCCACGGATGCTTAAAGAAACTACATGACTATTGTAAGACCAAGATAAGCATTATATGAATAGAAACAATAGAAAGGTATGTCATATATCTGTTTTTAAAGGAATAAAACCGGTGTTTGTTTACCTGTTAGTTGCGTTTCCTGGATCGCAAGAACAGCAGTCGCAAAATGATGACATAATAAAGTAGCGAAACTTTTTTGTACTAAATCTTTTAAATGATAATTATTTTCTAACGCACTTTTAGAAACAATGCTATATGAAACACTGAATGCATATAATTAAATTATAATAAATACATTTTTGGTTTTTCGACGTGACGTCATAATTATGCGCATGCACGGAACCAAGCTTTTCCGTTGACGGTGGATTTAAATGTTTCAAGAACAAGAAAAGAGACGCGAAGGTTTGTGGTCGTCAGGCAGGTGAGTATTCTTCTTCTTAAGATACACATGGTGCACATGTTGCGAAGATAGAGGAATACAATTTTGATAACAACCAATAATACTTGGGAAAGTTTTTGAAAGCGAAGGTTTTTATTCTCACACTCGTCGTCCAATTGTCTGCTTCTGTTTGTTTTATGTCAGGTCTCGCAAAGATCCCAGCTATGTCCTCCTCTAAGGAAGATGCGTTATCCCCTGACGAGCTGAGGAAAAGACTCTATCAGACTTTTAAAAGTAAAGGAGTTCTTGATACACTCAAGGTAAGCAATGTTAATAACGGTGCTGTTATTATTATACATTGCTGTGAAAAAGTATTTTCCTTTCTCGATTTCTTTCACATCACCATGGAGGACTTATAGTGCACTCTTATTTGCACAATTGTTAAATTCATCCACATTGAAAGGTTTTTAAGCATTTATGGACTGTTTACGGTTATGTCAAAGCAATTAGAATTTAACATTCATCTGGCATTATTTTGAGGCATCCAGAGGTGGACTTCCTGGCAGGTTTCTCATCATCGTCCTGCTGCATAACCCAGGTGTGCTTGAACTTCAGGGCATAAACTGATGGCCAGACATTTTCCTTCAGGACTTTCTAGATCATAGACCATTACACTACCACCACCATGTCTGTTGGTATGATGTTCTTTTTATGAAATGCTGTGTTAGTTTTAAGCCAGATGTAATGGGACTCAAACCTTCCAAAAAGTGAAACTTTCGTCTCATTATTCCGCTTTCTCCAAAAGTCTTGAGGATCATCAATACGTTTTTTTGGCAAATGTGAGCTGAGCCTTTTGCTCAGTGGTTTTCTCCTTGGAACTCAGTGACATCTTGAATGAGTTGTCATTTTGCTTTTAGAGTAATTCTGGTAGGCTGGGCATTCTTCAGAAAGGTCACCACTTTTTATAGCTCTAACAATTGGATAGTGAGACTGGCTTTAGTAGTGGTGATGTAACTCTTTCCACACTGATAGCGTGTTGCATGATGTGTTGCTTTTTGGGATCTTTTAGCTTACTTCACTTTGTGAGACAGCTTCTGTTTGAGTGATTACTTGATTCAACAGGTCTGCCAGTAATCAGCCAGGGTGTGGATAGTGAAATTGAGCTCGACTTTACAAAAAAAGGTGTTAAATTACAGTTAATCAAAGGGGCCAAATACTTTTTCACAGCACTGTAGCAATGTTCAGTGTTTGGTCTTCATCCTTCTCTTTGACTATTCGGATCTTATTTAGGCACAGCTGCGAAATCAGCTCATCCAGGAGTTAAAGTACCCAGCTTTGGCAGGCCAAGAACCAGTTCCCAGGCCAGCACATGTGAAACATGAACCCATTTTAGTTTCAGCCTGTAACAGCATAGTGGCAGATCATCTCCAGAACTCTGGGTATGAGTACACACTTTCTGTGTTCTATCCTGAAAGCGGATTATCTAAAGACAAGGTGTGTATGACTTTTTATGTACATGTAGCTTGAGGTGTCAAGAAGATGGAGATGAAGGTCTCTGATCTACTTTTACAGGTTTTTACAAAAGAAGACCTTCTTCAGCTTCTTAAAATACGCCCTGAATCAAACCTTTACAAGTCATTGGTATTTATAATTATTTTGAACCTCGAACATCTTTTTGATATAAGTATTAAGACATAGTGTAATTACTAATAAAAGCGCCATTATTATTTTCTTACAGTCTTCAAATAAAGAAAACCATGATAGGGGTATGTACAGTGTCCTGTTCCTTCTACTTCTAATAAAACTGCTTTTGTTCGAGAGTCTCTCCAGTGATTTATTATGTCTTTATTTACCAGGGTTCCTGATCAGCCTTCTAACACAGCTAACAGATCATTATACTCGGAACCTGTGCCACGATGCCGACACTCAGACAAGTTTATCAAGTTATGGAGAGTCTCTTGGTATGAACTGATATCTGACGGTGACTGGCCTTTTTATATTCATGCCCTCCAACAAAGAGTTTTAATGTGTTCTCCCTGTCTTTCCATTCACAGTAGAGAAGATGAAAACAATAGATCGGGAATACGAGGGTTTGGGGTACAATGAGGACAAAGTGTTTCCATTACAGTCAAAACTGTCTGCGTATAGAAAAGACATTGAAGTGCAGATGGAAACAGAAATGAACTTAAAGGTACACACTCGTAACAAACATGGTTTATTTGGTCACATAGTTTTCCTCCAGGTTGGGTCGCCTCAATGTTGTCTTTTTTTCTTCATCTTCTTTTGTAGATAGAACATTTTAAAGAAGTTGAAATTGCCAAGGTGAGGATGGAAGAAAAATCCAAATTTCATAAAGAATTTGAAAGGCTGAAGCAGGAGCTGGAGAGGACTTATGAAATGAAGACAAAGGCCCTGATGGAGCGAGAGAAAAATGCTATTGATCGGTTGCAAAAACAGCAAGAGGTAAATGGCTGCTACAATGAGGTGCTCTTTTTCTCATATAAACCTTGAACATGTAATGTAAGATTTCAAAGGTCTGACACCCAGATGAATATTTTACTAATAATATCACCTTAAAGTTCTGGTGTCAGTTTGAGGATTCTGGCCTTCTTACCTAACTTTCTTTTACTGGCTATCACTTGATCTTTTTAAATTGTTCTCAGTCCTCAAACCTTGCTGCTCATTTCCTGAGCTGTATGTATGATTTGGCATCAGGCTTCTATATCCCACTGCAATTTGATTATGGGTGGTTCTGAGCATTACAGTTTACATTCAAATTATTTCTCCTTAAATTTAAGATAGACTAATTATCTCTTATTTCCACTTCGCTTCTCTATAGATTGAAGAAAAGAACTTATACATTGAGAGACAGTCAGTGCTGAAGGAAATTGAAACACTACGTAGCAGAGAAAATGAGCTGAGGATGAGAAGAGAAGCCTTCGAAAAGTAAGAATTTTTTATGACTATTTATCTGAGTGAAATGATGCTGCACTCTTCCATTGTGGTCACAGGTTCATAGTTATTGCTGTTGTCTTTTTATGGTAATAGGACTTGTCAAATCCATGAGGAGAAGATCAAGACAGCTGAAGAGCTGCTGAGGAGGAGAGAACTGGCTGTGAAAACCATGGAGGACACGTATGACCAGAAGCTGAAGAATGAACTTTCCAGGTACTTGCTGTCAGTACTGTGTGTATACTATACAGTATACATTATCATCATTATCTGTGACATAAAAATCAATACAGTAATCCTGTTGGTGAATTTCAAATATTTTCCTGCTAAATAAAGCAGTAAATATATCTCAATGACACTGAGTTAATTAATGTACCAACCTTTATTTAACTTAAGTGATTTTCTTTTTATCAAAAGAATAGAGCTATCAGCAGCAACAGCAATTAATAGAGTAACATACACAAGAGGACTTTACCATGTATTTGACAGAGGACAACATTGCTTTTGCAAATCTGTAGTTGATCACTAGGTCGAGTATTTGCTTTGTGTAATGTAGAAAGAACAACAAGTCACATTGTCTTGTACTGTTTAGTTTTAGTCCTGCTTTTAAATGTCTCATCTTGTCTTTAAATCAGGTATCAGCTTGAACTAAAGGAGGACTACATCAAGAGAACAGAAAAGCTCACAGAAAGTGAGAACAGAAACAAAGGCATGTCAGTCAGTGAAGGATTTATGACTAATTTTCTGTTGCCTGTGCTTTGTCTGCTTTCACATCTTTGTATTTTTCAGTGGAAACTGTCCGTATCCAAAAGGAGTCAGCTGCAATTAATGCCAAATTGGAGGACCACAGTAAAACGTGCTCAGAGCTGAAGCGGCTGCAGGTAAAGACCCAAATCCATCCATCCTTGTTAACTTCACCCTTTTCAGTGGACGTGAGGCAAAATGATAAATAATTATATTAGCATTCAGTTTAATTCTGTGATAAATGCATGCCATCCAGTGCGATTCGGTTCCCATGCTTTTAATATCCCTCGCGGGATTGTTTTTCCAGATCGAGTTAGACACAGCACAGCAGCAGATTTCTCTGCTGACTCAACAGAAGGAGCTGTTAAGGGAAAGAATGGAGAGCATGAGTGACTACCCCCGCTTAACAAAAGAGAAAGCAGAGCTGCAGGGGCAGCTGCAGCTGCTAAAGAAACAGCTGGAGGAGGCCCAAGAGGAGAAACGGCTTCTTCATGCAGGTAGAGAGTGGTGGTTGCTCTCGAGTGTCTACCAGGAGAGTGTCCCTATTCAGTTAAAAACATGAAAAACACAATCAGGCATACTCTGTTTATAATAATGCACATCTGATTATCTTATAGCCTGGGACTATATAACCAGATTTATTGTGTCTAAAATGCAATCCTAGTTTTGGTAAGTCTGAATATTTGCAGTCTTTGCCATAAGCGAGGTTCTTGAAGTTCCTGTGTTGCATTCAGAGTGCATGAGTATAGGCTCATTGTGAACTGTGTAAGGTGCAGTGTACTGTGAAGCATTTTTGGTAGTCTTATCCCACTGCCTCTGGCTGAGCTGAGTCTTCTTGAATGTGTCTCGCCTGCCAAAGTAGGGCCTCTGTGTCTTGTTTGTAGCTTTGCAGACAGCCAATGAGGAAAGGGGGATGAGTGAATGGGAGCAGAGACAGAGGTCCTTTTACCCATGGCAAAGAAAATCTTACCTCTCTCTGAGGCTTACAGTATTCATCTTGTCTAAAGATGGGGCAAAGGAGCAGTGGGCCTCTCTCCTCAATGCTAACAAAAGGCAGTGACATGATAATGGGCCCCATGTGCTGTAATGTCATGCTGGTCAAGAACTGCTCCATACAAAACCAGATGCTTTTTCATCTGACAGTTTTCCCACTGAAGACAAATGCATTGGGGGAAATGAGCTGTACTTTTATGTTATGTTTTAAGTCGTATATATCCTGTCTCAGATTTGGGCAAACCATCCAAAGAGCAACTATCCTTGCAGTTGGAGCTTCAGAGGCTACAGAGTGCTCGCAGATTGGATGCGGAAGAATTTGACAACCAGAAACAGGTGCTGCAGGCACAGCTCCAGAGTGAGGTCAGCTACATCACAGCTCCTTGCTGTGGGAAACAATTTTTCTTCACCTTGAAGAATTTGTGTTCGCAGTATGCCCTCAAATCTCTGGTTATCAAAAAATATACATGTCGTTCACTTTTGTGTCCATTTTTTTCTGCAGATGGAGCAATGTGCCCAGTTCAAAGCTCAGCTGATAGAGTGTAAAGAGAAATCCCAGTGGATGGCTAACCATGTTGAGGACATTAAAATGCAGCTTCACCAAACTCAGCAAGGTACACTTTGATGTGGCATCCCTGTTAATGTGGCTAATCACATCAGATGATCTTGCTTTAAGTACAGTTGACTTTATTTTTGCTTTTCATAAGCAGGCTTGCTTTCTTTTCTAGCTCATACAGTTCTGTACACAGTTACACATTGCACATATTGATTCATCCTTTTATTTGTATTTTTGATGGTCTTTATAGAAAACTGAGTAAAAGCAAGAAAGAAATCAACACTCTAGTCTTAACTGCCTATTTCTGGTGTAGCCCCATGTAATTATTTCTAATTAGCTTTGGGGGGGTTTTCTGATTTTTCATGGTGGATTGTATTCTGTAGTAGTACTCAACATTCATCGTGTTTGCCTTTCCCCTTTCTCTTCCTTTTGTGCGACTCATGTGATCCCGGCAGCTCTTGAAAATGAAGTGCTGCGTAATCCCAAACCATCTCTTGTTGATCGCTCTGTACTAGAGCTCGACGCTGACAAGCTGGTTCCTCCTGACATCTATGTGGACAGAACTCTGCTGAGGGCCAGGGTGGGTTATGATGTTTGTGAAATAGATGGCAATCTGGGAGGAAGCAAATCGCCTTGGAGTGATGTACCAGATTCTGATTTGGAGTTGGTAGCTGAAGCTAAGACTCGGATCAAGGAGCTGCAGAGGGAGGCTGAGACTTTAGAGGAAGCTTACAGGAACTACCAGCAGAGGGCAGTGCGCTCCACCATCTCACACATGCTTCCCCCAAGACCTCTTTCCCCACAACAACCACATCCTTCTCATTTCCCTGAGTCTCCTCTTAGAAAACACGACCCTCTCCGTTCACACAGTCACTTAGCCCACAAACCAAAGATCTCACACAGACCACTGTCTCCTCAGTCTATCCAATCCCCCTCCAATGGCACCAGAAAGACTTTACCATCTGCACAATCAAGAGTTACCTTCTCAGAAGATCATAACCAGCCACAGGCCACATGTTTTGTTGACCACAGTCTCTATTCGCTGACCGAGCCTTTGTTCCTAAAAAATGGAAACGCTCCAGATGAAAGCTTGGCTCTATCCAAGCACCCATCCCCTACAACACAATCTTCCTTCAAGAATAATCTTCAAAGAGAGCTTACAGAAGGTAATATGTCAAAAAACTGAATAATGATTTATGTTCTCAGTGCTTATATGCTGCACACATGCATGTAAACTGTATATTTTCTATGGAAATTATTTGAAAATTCAGGTCAGTCTGTCCAGATCTTTACACATCAGTCTCTGAGCACGTTTCTACCTCAGATGTGTTTTTTAATATTAAGTCCTTCCTTCTGTTAGGGCCAGTCGTGTCTGCAGTCCTGCTTCCACAGCTGTCGTCTGACAGGCAGCTCTCTCCTGCCCTCCACAATGAGGTGGTGACCTCAGAGGACTTGTCCTCCGAGCTCAGTCCACCTCGCAGTCCTCAGCTCAGGAGCACAGCACGCGACCATTCCAGGTATCATCTGGCATCACTTTCAAGGACAGTGCAGTGTTTCGCATACATTTTATGATGAGACAGTGAATACCAATGCCTATGTTGCCACTGTGTCCTTCAGTCCACCAAAGCTACAGCAAGTCTTCTCCAGCTCAGAGTCTTCCCCACAGCCTGAGAAGATAAGCCTTGAAGATCTCACTGGAGGATTATCAGGTACTCAGTGTTGTTCATTGTTGTTAGTTGATTTTTGTTTAGTATTTTCCCCTTATTGTTTAAAGCATAATCAAATAGAATGTGGTCATGTATTTCTGAAGCCAATGTTTGCAGTGTACGTGACTCATACAACCGACTTTGAGCTTCAGCAGTCTGGTCGCGTCATTGCTGTTGAGGAAGAGGTTCTGGGCCATAAATTGTGATCAAAGGGGAACTTTTAAACTGTTAGAACATAAAGTTCTTTTATAGTAGTGCTTCATGCTGTTTGACTAGCTACAAGACATTCAGTGGAGATGACAAGTTCCCTGGGGATCTATTGTAGAAGTATAGCTCTCCTCTTATACTGGAAAATCTTCACTGTATCCCAGGATAAACACTCATAGTTTATGTGCTGTTTATTTTAATTCCATGACTGCTGTGCATGATGCGAGTGCTGAAAAGTGTGCTGTGTGATTAATTTCTGTTTGCTCCATCTGTCACTAGAATATATTTCTAGAAAATGATTAACTATATGTTGATAGTGTTTAATCACTAATGTAACAAAATGTGTAATGTATCCAGTATGGAGGCCTAGAATTTTTGGATGGCTGTTTTTTAATGAGTGTGTGACTGGCCTTTCAGTGGCCCTGCACAATGGTGAAGATGAAGGACCGCTGATTATGTATTCTGTGCTGGTCCTCTGGCCCTGTTGCATTATGGTGGGGCATAAAAGATCTCTTTGTGCATGTCTCCCTCCAGAGCCCGGCCACATTCCAGAGCTTCTCCTGGACACTGCTGTCCCTCTCTCCGAGGAGGCCCCTGCTGGCCCCCACCCACAAGACCTCCCAAAAGACCTAATAGACTCACAGGGCCAAACGGGTGAGTCTTAGTTCTCTCATCAACGATTCATAATCTTTCTTGACTTCCAATGACAATACAAGCCTTTTTTTTTTACTGTACATCATAAGTCAAACTGTAAAAATCAGTTGGCTCATTTTGCCGCCAATTTTCAGTAAACTGCTCTTTAAACCCAAAGGATCAAATTGACAAAGGATGACTCATGTTATTTCTAGAACTCCCACAAAGTTTGGTTGAATCTGAAAAGGAAGAAGATGAAGAACAAAGGTGGGAAAGAGAGCGGAAAGAAAGGGAAGAAAAAAGACAAAGGGAGCAGGAAGAAGCCAGAGAGAGAGAGCTGCAAGAACTTGAGCGACTAGAGAAAGAGATGGTAATGATTATCTTAGACCCACTTCCTGCAGAAATCCTTTTTATAAGCTAAACTATCTAAACTTCTCATAAAGGCGACCTTAAATGAATGTTTAATGTGATAACATCCCATTCTAATCAGCTTTTGCAAGAGGTGGAAAATCCAAAACAGGAAGAAGAAGAAGAAGAAGAAGAAACCGGGGTTAAGAAAGGAGTAGATGAAGAAATCAGTGGAGAGAAATATGAGTCTAAAAGTGAAAATCCACTGGACAAATACATGAAGATGGTCTTGGAAGCAAGAGGGAAGCAACATGCACAGGTAAGTTGCATCCATGTTTGTCTGAGGCTTCTGTACAAATGAAACAGGAGACTCGATGCAGACTGGAGTTCTTTGGGATTGTTTTTTTCTACAGAGCTCTCGAAGAGAAGAGGCAGAATATGCAAGCCCAGAGGCCAAGAGTTTGACTGAGGATAAAGAAGACAGGTAAATTAAAACCGTTGACTTGGCTAGACAAACTATTTCCGCTTTCTAATTCAAAAGCTGTGCAGGACTTTAATACATACATAAGCCTCTTTCAATAACATTTAATTGCTTTTGTGGTTTATCATGGTCGTACTTTATACTTGAGGGGTTTTTTTTTGCTGTTCTGGATTCATGTTGTTAATTTTAAACTGTTTTACTTTTTTCTTTTAAACTCTGTCCCTCGAGGCTTTCACTAATAAACTCAATTTTGTCTCAGCATTGCAGCATATTCACACAAGGATGAAGATGATGATTTTTGGTGAGCTGACCATCAGTTTGTGGCATCATAATCTGAAGTGTATAAAAACAGATATTTCAAGAATTTGCTTATCAGTCCTACATGTTTTCTTTTTTGTATGAAATTCAAATAAATGCATTTTTTAAATCTGTATACCAATCAATTCTATCATGCAAAGAACAAAAGCACCACAATTGGAAGAACGTTTTTAAAAAAAACATTTTTATTTATTTTCATAAAAACAGTCAACAGGCCGGTGAAGTTGTTTCATAAAGGGGTTTCCAGTCAGACAGGATGGTTTTTGTTTGTTTTCTTTTAACTGATTACTGTCCTCCTGGTGATTGATAGATAGCCTTGTATTTACTTTTTTGGTTCATTTAACAGGAAACACAACATACAAAGACAAGATGTGGCGTACATTACCTTCATGTACATCTGTCATCTATCCGCTCGACCACACCTATTGCCAGTCCTACATAAAGCACTGTAGGGTCTGTACCACTGTATCAAACAGATACTGTTTAACACTGGCATTCATACTTTGGCTGAATTTACCATTTATAATTTTATACAACTGTTTAAAGGACTGTTGTTGTGGCTAATTGTTGCTTGACAGTTGGAAAGTTAAGTATCAGTTAATCATGAGGAAGCCCTTGACATACATAGAAAATACAGGCATACTATCAGGCAACAAAACAATAAAGTATACTTCTCAAGTGATTAAAAGAACCTAAAAAAAAGATTATAACTAATGTGCTACATAGCTTTATATTCTGTTAGAAAAACAGGAAATGGGCAAACACTGCCAACTACTGAAGTCAGTGTACATAACTGTACATCACAGGTCACCACAGAAGTGGTCGTCTTTATACAACAAAGTAACATCTCGAATTATCCCTGTAACTCAGCTAATAAAGATTACAAGTTGTTATTTTAACATTGTGAAAATTGCACATTAATATACAATTATAGAAAATTGTGAAAAAAGGTAAGAAATGAAAAAATTTGACCTGTAATAAATTTAACTGAACTTCTTCAGTTCTGTTTTCAAATTGTAACAAACACATGTGACATAGTTATGCTTATCAATAGGATTTCTGTTAAATCAAGTCATTTTTGATCATATTGTGCATGTTGCAGATAATCACTGCTATATTATTAGCCATCACAACTCTTCATTGGCAATTACTGATGTTTTTGTTTTTTCCCTCCTATGTGCCTAAATGAATACGTACAGGTCAGAGTAAGTTTTTCTTGTAGCATTATCCAAAGTCTATAGTACTGTGAATCAGTTGAACTGTTGTGCATGTGTGGGGGTGTAGCTACACAAACCTATCTACTATATCTTTGAGACATCTTTTTACAACTGGAATTGGTTTATTTTACACCTTGCAATGGGAATTGTTTGTCCATAGGCTCTAGTGCTCACCTGAGGTAGAGGTAATGTAGGCTATGACTTAAGTAGCTGTACAGGAAAAATCCATAACTAATGAACAACATTCAGACAATCACCAACTGAGATGGAAATGCAAGTAAATTCATAATCATCAAGGATTATAGATTTATAGTGCATGTATTACCAACTATTTTATAAAAGAATCTGGTTTACTTTCCCTAAAAAGGTCAGTATGGTGTGATGCACAACTCTGGATGTAAGGCTGTTCATTTGTATAATACATCTGCAAAACAGAACAAAAACCAAAATGTTTCATCTTCCTTAGCTGAAAACTAAAGAAGGATCGAGCAAGACTGTGAAACACTGGTGTGCTGTGTAGGAATAGTGCAATGTCACAAGCTTCACCAGCAAAAAATACAACAAAGGTTATAAAAACACACGAACATCAGAACTCAGATCACTCTTCCCTACAGAAAATGAAAAATAAAAATTAGCATGAATGAAACTTCACAGAGCAGTTGTGAAACAATTAGTGCAGAAAGCAACACTGATGCATTAGTCTGTTAGGAGCCTGGTTAGTACTGCACAGTGTCAGTTGGCATGTTGTTTTAGCTGAGAGTCGCCTTGGTCCAGAGGGCCCACAGTGGTTGGCCACAGTGTCTGTTATTGTAAGTATGTGTGCTTATGTATGTGTGCGTGTGGATTGTAAGCTTGAAATATCCTTATGTGTAGGAATTGAGGCATTCCTTTGAGCGTGAGGTGATGTCCTGCAGCTCCCGCTCTTCCTTCATTTTGATGTCTTGGTAGGCATGCATATGACTGGCATCCTTAAGGTAGGCCCAGTTTGCTGAGAGAATCATGAGGAAGTGGATCTGGAAGAGAAGGGTGAGGTGGATGGCCGGTGAGCATGTCAAAGATGCAAAGCAAGCTACAGGAGTCAGAGCTACAGTACGTACATTACGGACATACACGAACGTAAAGTTATGCTTTTTTTTTTTTAACAAAAAAAGGACACTGTGGAAAAAGAAATGTTACGGGTATTGTAACAGTGCTGTTACAATCATTACTAATACTCGGCGTTATTACCTCGCTACACACAATACTACAGAAATGACACTTAAAAGATGAGGTGATGAGTGGAGGAAGATAGCGAGAGGCTGTACATGCAAAATGAGCAGAGCTGTAAAAGCTTAGGTTAGTGCAAAGCACAAGATTCTGAAATTTGCAAATCTGAGCTGTAGGATATATAATAAATAGACCAGGTGGGGATTCTTTTTGTAAACAAAGATTGTTTATTTTATAAAGAAAGTAAAAGCTACAGTCTTTGAAAAACTTAGGAGAAATTTAAATATATGAAATATGGAGTATAAGTAACTATAAACAGATCAAAGTATCTGAAAACTGTAAGCATGCAGGCTCAGTGTTAAGATAAAAACAAATGGCTCTTTAATGGCACTTTGAGAAAGAATAAAGGAAAATGTATGAAACAAAACGCCAACTTCGTAGCTGGGGTAATATCAGGATCAGCTTTCATAGAAAAAAAAAAATACTGTACTCTAAAATAGGATCATTTCTCTTTTTATAAAATACATGGAATTAATCCGAGTAATAGGGCCTCATGCAGATCTATATGCACGGTACTGGCCTAACCCTTTATTTCTGCTACTTTCCATATGTGCAGTTACTTTGAATTCTACAATACACAGCTGGTTGTGGTAATACTCATCAGCATAACACATTGAATAAAACATTTTAGTTCAGTTTAGAATCTAACTCATGACCCAAAAAATTAATAATACTGAAGGTTTTCCGTGTTTCACACATCGGTTCTGAAAGATTTTAAGGCTAAGCAAATAAACCAAAGAAATACAAGGACAAGGCACTTTTGCCGCCATCACAGCTCATTTTACAGATTGTTTGTACTAAAATCCATCCACACCAAAATGCTAATCTGTCAATCAAAAAATATTAAGCCTGAGAACACCTTCAATATTCGTCATCAGATGCCCACGTGTTGTACGTCTATATGAGCCACGTGCAGTCTAGTGTATTTATCAGATCTCAGAATGGCAGCTTTTTTAAAACCTGCACACTTGTTTTACAAGTGTCTCAGGAGTTGAAGCTCGCCAGCTAATGGAAGGTGAATAACTGCATTCTTAATGCTGCGTGTGTGTCTTTTTTTTTTTAATCTAACTTACTCATGTGGTTTGTGCAGGCCAAAACCACCTTCACAAATTACAAATATAAATAACACTATTGTGGATTTCTAGCTGCGCACATTTCTATTTAAAAAAAAAAAAAATTCTGCTGGTGACATATTTCAATAAGTAAGTATAAAGGAAAGCAGAACAAACCAGTCAACTAAACACCATCATCCCACTCTGAAGACAACTCTCATCAGGTGTCCTCAGACGAGCATTATCCCTGGATACCAAATGCTAAGAGAAGTATACAGTCAGCTATTTACATGTCTTGTGATTACTAATGGAGAGATGTTGATTTTTTTCTATTCTCAGATTTTGTTGCTTTTTTTTTTAGTTCAACTGTTGTCAGTGGCAACGGTGTCTACTCAGCACAGCCTTGAATGGTGCACTGTGTTCCTAAAACGGTTTAAAACTTAGTGCAGCAGTCTTCTCGACTCTTAAACTTCAAAACAGCAAAGTTATAAGTAGTAGCCATCATGTAGATCAGCTGGTGGAAGAGAACAGAAAAGGTGGTAAGAGTACATGCCAGTGACCTCCTCGTCACTAATATTGTGACAAGTTAGTAAAGTGGCCAGTAAGTTTGCAGCAGTAAAATGTTAAAGATCATGAAGTATAATTTTATAGAATTCTAACAGTTTTTTTTAAAGTGTCATTTCTAAAAAAGAATCCTAATCATGGCACAAAAAAGCAACTGTTCAAAATAGGGTCATGTCCATCTAAGCTGAGGGTAAACAGCAAAATGAAGTTGGAGCTTTGGAAAAGACTATGTTATCATCATTGGTTTGGCTACATTAACCATATGGGAATGAGAAGAAAAGCACTGGACACATGACCTGCTAATACAAACCATGTGAAGATGGACTAAAACGTGAGGATGGAGAGACCAAACGGAAGCTTACCAGAGCGATGACAGTGGCTCCTGCCCCGGCGCACGCTACGATGTACAGGTGATAAGACAGGTAGAACTGAAAAAAGACAGGCAGCGTTAACAGTGTTTAGTCTTCAATAAACAGAATCCTATGTCACCCTGCTCTGTGTGCCACTTCCGGGATGAGTGATGTTTGCACAAGCACGCCTTACCTCATTGGTGTTGCAGATGTCACCTAGCGTTGATCCACAGGCCTTGCCTGGTGTGGCATTCCACGGGATAATTCCTGTTGTCATAAAATTAAAAAGCACCTTTACACCTGCAACCAATAGTAGCCTTGTCTCATGCAAATCATGATCAAACCTAAGAAACACAACGCCGAGCTGCAGTACTACTAAGCTGATAACAATTCAGTGTTTCAGAGACATGCTCAACTTTAAACATGAGGATTTCCTCACCATCATAAGAACTGCAAAGACAGCAGTCATTAGGCTCAACTTGTGCACTTAACGTTATAATGGAAACATATTATAACCCTGGGGGTAACCTACCTAAAATTATATATAAATTATATAGTTATCATGTGCCATTTGAGAGTATGTATAAGTAGGCTATATTATTTTATGCATTTATTTGTCTATTAGTCTGAACTTTGTAGACTAAAACAAAAATAATAAATTTGGCT